TACTATTGACTGGAAGTTCTGAACAGGAGATAGCCAAGTTCAAGAAAGTTCTGATGAATGAATTTGAAATGACTGATCTAGGCAAAATGACATACTTTCTAGAGATGGAGTTCAGATATTCTGAGAAAGGTATCATTTTGCATCAGCTCAAGTATGAATTAGAACTTCTGAACAAATTTGAACTGAAGAATTGTAAGATTGCTGTCACACCTTCTGATACAAATCAGAAACTGGATTCTGAATCTGATGGAAAGGATGTGGACGCTACAACCTTCAAACAGTTGGTTGGTTCTCTGAGGTATATGTGCAATACCAGACCTGATATTTGCTATTCTGTTGGGATGGTTAGTAGGTTCATGAGTAAACCTAAGTGGTCCCATTGCCGAGCTACTGTCAGGATTCTGAGTATATCAAGGGAACTCTGAAGTATGGAGTGTTGTTTCCTTCTGGAAGAAAGGATGAGTCAGAACTTCTGAGTTATTCAGATTCTGATTGGTGTGGAGACAGAGTTGACAGAAGAAGTACTTCTGGGTACTTGTTCAAATTTCTGGGAGGTCCCATTTCTTGGTGTTCCAAGAAGCAACCTGTTGTGGCGTTATCAACCTGTGAAGCTGAATACATTGCAGGTGCTGTTACTGCATGCCAAGCTGTGTGAATTCTGAATCTGTTGCAGGATCTGAAGATTAAAATAAACAAACCTCTGAAGTTGATGATTGACAACAAGTCTGCAATCAATCTTGCCAGAAACCCAGTGTTGCATGGAAGAAGCAAGCATATTGAGACAAAGTATCATTTTCTGAGACATCAAGTTCAGAGTGGAGTGTTAGAAGTTGTACACTGCAGCACTCAGAAACAGTTGGCAGATGTTCTGACGAAAGCTATCAAGACTGATCAATTTCTCAGACTAAGGGATGGAATTGGTGTTACAAGTTTTGATGGAATATGAATTAAGGGATGGTATTAGAAGTAATTCATATTTATTAGTTGTACTATTTTCTTAGCCCCTAAGTTTGTTAGAGGGTATTTTAGTATTTTTATCTTATTCTAGTAACCCTAGTATTAGCTTATAAATAGGGTATCAATCATTGCAATTTTGTAGTGGTTGTGTGTAGCCGTCATTCTCTTAATAGAATATTTCTCTATTCATCATTTATTTTACCTTTGCACCAACAAGTACATGAGACGTTGAATGTTCCCGAAGATGTATCTTCGAAATTTCTCAGTCTGTTTCTTTTTCTTTTTGTTTTATAATTTTTCTTATTATGTAAAATCACTGTACGGTTAATTATATTATACTTTGAAGGCATAATGGCTGACAGAGCCGACTGATTGAGGCATGAACGGGTTGCCCAGCATGCATTCGTTCGACGAGAGCAGGGCCAGTCGGGTTCGGATGCAGCACAAACCTCTGGTCAGGGAGAGGCGTCGACTGCTAGTGTACAGTTAACTCTTGAGGCTCGGTCCACACTTATGGTTCAGCCTTCACCCCGGGCCACTCCATCTACATCTTAGGTCACTCCATCTATATCTTAGACCACTGCATCTACGTCTCAGCCCACTTCATCTTTTTCATCTTCTTCCCGCAGACCACGGGATGCACCAACTGACGCATCACTTCCCTCATCCTCCCGCAAGAGGCGGGATGCACTTGTGCCACCTCTTGTTGATCTGGTTCCACCTCTTGGTGACCCAGTCGCATTTGCTTATCGGGATGCACTTGTGCCACCTCTAGGGGGTGGTGTTGCTGATGTCGAGCCAGAGACTTTCGGAAGGGGTTCATCTTGTATGTCTATACTTCCTTTGTACCCAGACCACACTGCCAGACATATCCGAAACGGAGAGGTAACATTAATCACATTATTACTATATTTATTACATTAATTTAAATTGCTAATTGATTATTTCTAACCTTGATTCTTATAGACATTGATTATTTCTGAAAATTCGCAGGTGCATAATCCCTAGAAGTTTTTGAACCATGGGCGGAAGATTTTAGCATTGCATCAGCCTGATGCATATTAGTTTCAGTCGGTTCTGACCGCTTCTGGGTTAAGTGACCTATGCTTAACCGGTTACACTTTGGTCAACCACAGGATGCTTAATGCATTCGTGAAGCGATGGCACTCTGAGACCTCTTCCTTTTACATCCCGCATGGTGAGATATCGATTACACTAGATGATGTCTCGTGTTTGTTGCATCTACCAATTAGAGGGAGATTCCTCTATCATGGTAGGATGACCAAATACGAGGCGGTCGATATGATGGTGGGGCATCTGGGGGATGATCCAGTGAAGGCGCTGAAGAAGGTGGATAGGACCAGGGGCGCTCATGTTAGGTTTTCGTTCTTGAATGAGAGATTTGATCAGGTGCTCGTTGCTGTAGCGCAGACTAATTGTGATGCCCAGGAGGTGGTCGTACATATGAGTCATGCTTTGAGGTGTTATTTTCTATTTTTAGTTGGCATTGTGCTTTTTATGGACATGAGTGTCACCTACATTGACGTTGCATACCTCCGGTACTTTTTGGATCTTACACGGATCCATAAGTACAACTGGGGGTGGATTGCCTTGCATATCTATATTTGAAGCTGAGAGATAGATGTCGGTAGACGATGAGCTAGCAGACCACGTGCAGCACGACCCTACTGGTGGTAATAATTTTTTATCCTTGAATGTTTTTTATCTCTTTTATTTCATATTTGCGATAATTCTTAATCCTTGAATGCTTTTTTATTTTCATTTCAGGCTTGGATTCTCCAGCATATCTCGCGCATCGCTGGCTATTCGTGTTGGGATGAGTACACTAAAGATATGTCACGTGCATGTGTTTTAATCCCGCTGAGAGGGAACTAAGCGATTGAGCATTTCAGAGTCTATCTTGGTCGCTTGGTTGCTGAGGACATCCACTTCAACTGCTACGTGGATCAACGTCAGACGCGACAATTTGACGACCTATCGGTATGCTCCTGTGGTTGGCCTACTCTTCGACGGTCACTGCTCCTCATCTTTCCGAGCGCTTCATGCGGTAGTTCGGGTACACTCAGATCATCCCCAAACACTATGTTGTCTCTACACCTCCGGCTTTCACTCGTATACAGTTAGAGAAGATGTTTGATGATTATCAGAGTCATCTGATACCGGATGAGGCTCGGACTACCATAGCGTCGAATGACTGGAGCTACGTCGACGGATACATCAGGTGGTTCTTCACTGTCTCACATCTGTACATTGTGCCGACTACTCCAGGAGATTCGCCAAGACCAGCTCATCAGGAGATTCTTGAGGAACAGCGGGCTCAGCTAGATCATATTGAAGATGTCTTGCCTCGTTGTCCTCGCATAGTGGAGATGGCGCGGACAGACATTGACGAGGGTATCTTTTTTGAGGGGTCTGTTGTCAGGTGAATACTTGATGACATTATTGCAGAGGCACATGGGACACTTTTGTACCGCATACATCGCGCGAGGACAGGGGGAATCGATGACCGAAGAGGCAGATCAGGCACAAGAAGCAGAGGAGAGGTTGTCAGGCACACTCAGCAGTTGTCTTTATTTATTTTGTTCAGTACTATAGTTCGTACGTTTTTTCTGACATTGTTATTATATTTTGGATTTACGTGATGTATGACATCCTATTACTATATTGTTATGTTATTTTAGTGTGTCTGTTCATTTTAATTCATCTACGAACAAATACACAACGCATTTTTAAAAAAAAATTGTTATAAAACACTTCGAAGATGTATTTCCAAAAATTTTCTTAAATGAATCTCCGGACAAATTCAAATGAAAATGCATTATGGAAAATATGATGGAATTGTTTAAAGTTTAAATTAATCCGGAAATATATCTCCAAAATATTATTAAATCATAGGACGCGTCCGAAAATATATCTCTAAAGTCTGAGAACATTTGTGAAAAATCACACGCTGTAAAAAAAAACCATAAAATGTATTAAGAAATTCTTATTTTTTAAAATAATGGTGTCTGCGCACTAATACCATACCAATAGTACCTAACTACCTGTCATTAAAATATTTATTGTTGCACATTACACGTTACATATGCTACAAAATCACTATGCTTACCCCTATGGGTGTTTTACATGTATAGCGGCGCACAAGATTTGTTGCACAAGATTTTTTCTAGGCGTTCTCATGGTGTTAACTCTGGTGTTTCTTTAACACCAAGACCTTCTAATTTAACAAATGCTGAGATTTATTCTCTTCAATCTTCTAGAAAGTTTTGATAATACTGATTTTTATTTAATGGTAAATGGATGGAACGTGAGTCCTAGACAAACTAAATTTGGGTTTGATAAGGAAAATGTTGGTATAGTCAATGGTGGTGCTAATAATGTAAATGGTGGAAATGGGAACCCTACTCCTAAAAGTGCTGGATTTTTTTCACATATGGCTAATAAGAAAAAGGGTCATGGCGGCAGTGGCGATGGTGGAAAAGATCTTCTTGTTTGGAGTTCAAGTGCTTCACCTGTTTCTGAAGGTGGAATTCATGTCTTTAGAGGTGCTGGAAGTTATGGGAATGAACAACTTAATGGGGAATGAACTCAGTTCAATCAAATGACAAATTATAAATAAAAATCAAAAACCTGTTGAACATATTCATAATTCAGAAAACTTTAATGTGGTCAAAACTAAAATAATCAACGAACAGACTGGTTCAAATTCTTTGTACGTTTTCAAAAACATTGCTTGATTTTGTGATAAATCCACTTTACATGCATAATCTTGCTTCTCAAACTGGGGGTTATTCAATGTATTCATTCCCTTATCATAAAATCAATTATGTTAGGCCAATAAGTTTTGGACGGTACAAACAAAACTGATCAATGCCTGTGCAGGCATGTCACATGCACATCCAAACCACTTGAGTTCATATCACAAGTTATATATTTGTTCAAAGAAAATCAAATAATAACTGAATTGGTCATGTACAACATCTTAATTTTTCATTCATTTAAGAACATTGCAAAAAGAATAATCAAGAAAGCTCTGTAATAACTCGTTCACACTTATCTTCCAGAATCTTCACGGCTTCGGTAAATAGCACGTCAGGCGGTAAGGCTCCAGTTGATTCAACAGTAACTAGACAACCAAGTATAAAAAAACCAATGTAAGAAATTTCAGAGATTATATAGAACAATAATCCATATCAGAACTGTCAAAACCAAGATTTAAGGTTGCCGAAAATTTAGTGTCCAGAAAACTTCAAGGTTCTAATGCCAATAGTTAGTATGCGACATAATACTTACAAATAAAATGATCTTTGACACGACGCAGTGCTACGCGATCCTCCCATTCTTGCCCTCCTCTGATACATTCCCTACATAAAGTGCATGCTCGTGCATTGACTACAGTAGCCCTTCTTCTACCTATGCACACAACAGCAAAATCAATCAATAGAAAGCAAGCCAAAGAAATAGGAGCTTGAGACCACTAATGATTAACAGTAATGCAACGCCACTTGGACATAATCTCTAACCGTCAGGGTTCAGAACAGAAAGATATAAAAATCTAATACTAGGAAATCAAGCAAAAAAACTGAATTACCTTTTCCAATATCTTCAATATCAAAGACTTTAGCTGGACATTTACTTACAAGTTCTTCAGCCAGGTCATCCTTAACATCTTTCATGAGTACAACCTAGAGAAGAAAAGCCAAGCACACAAATGTCAGATTTTGTCACTTCTTCAGTCTCTTTATGTGTGAGTAGCAAACAATATCAATGATATTTCCTACCTCAGGAAGCATCCGATACCAAGCAGTGGCAACCGGAGACCATTTTGCATGTGTCTTGCCAACGCCTTTAACAGCATGAGCTTCAAGTTCGATTTCCTAGAAAAGCATGTGTTTAGCAACTATTATGTTCAGTAATAACTAGTAAGTACAATAACTAATTACATGATTGCAAAATCAAACATAACTCATACTAAGGTTGTCAAATTCATTAGAACCCGTAAATTAATGGAATTTCCATAAGCCCTTGTAAATCCGTGAGTACTTAACACAAATGATGTTTGAACATCTAACATAGGATAAACAGATTGTGTGCATAGTAAATATTCATCCAGTTGTACCATCCCAATACCATAACATATAGCAGAGTACATACATAGTATCACTATTCAAAATTAAGGGAATTAAGGGTAAAATACACGTTGGAGTTGGATTAAGCTCGGTAGAGCTAGGTTCCAACTCAACAGAGTTTGGTTCATTAACCTTGATGGCCTATTGAATTAATAGCAAATTTTATTCCTTTTTTCTAGTTCTCAAGTTCAACAGAGCTATAGCTTAGTTCCTGATATTAGTTTCTTCATCACCAAAGTAGACAATGACGGTGGTCATAGGAAAGAAAAAAGAGAGAGAGGGGGTTACCTGACCAGGTCCAAGTTTAGCTAATATAATATCCAAATTATTAGGAGCAATTGGTTTTTTGGAGAATCCAGGAAGTGAGCTTTGACTGCAACTAAAAGATGTAAATGTTTTTGCCTTTGAATCAGCATTTGGGTTGGTATTATCAGCAATAAGCTCACTTCCGTTAGGCAACCACTTCAGTGCATCTGATTTCACTGCATTTATATTGTAATATCATCAAACAGGGAGTTAAATAGCTGAAAAAGATATCAGTAACAGCATAAACACTATCAAGCAAGAGTTTCAGGTTATTTACCAGTAATACGGGGATGACCCTTTTTACAACTAACATGTAGTTTGAAAACGATGGTGTTCTTTTCATTGTTTTCACCTCCCGCATTGTCTATTTATAAGAAAAAGAAAGAAAATAATAAATATTCAACCTTGCCATATATGGTATGATGTCCACCAAACAACATGCATAATATTTCCAATCATCACACAAGAAAATCATATAAACAATGAGAAATACAATACTGTAAGTGTTAGTATAGATATAAGACCTGGATATTCAAATAGCTTGGGATCAGCATCAATTGGAATGAGACCCAATCTATGGGAAAGAACTTCATCTTGTATAAGTGATGTATTGTTCGCAATATATACTCTTTCAATAGCCATTGTTGGAACCTAGATTTTAAAAAAATAATAATAATTGAAGGAGAAAATCAAAATTTGACTCCATTAGGCTGGGAATTCGGTCTTGTGAATGAGTAATAACCAACTCAAAGCCAAGTTCAAAGAGCAACACATAAAGTTGAAAATGAAATTACTATCACATGTTATACACAGCGGGAGTAGTTCTAGGCTACAGGCTTTCAAATCATCTGCAAGGTTTTTCAACTGCTTAATATAAATCGCCTGCAAGTTTTTTCAACTGCTTTCCTAATGTAATGCTAGTATTCTAAACAACCAGTTGAAAAAACCATTTTTATTCTTCCACCTTAAAAAAAGGCCAAAATTCACTGGTTTTTCTATAACATTTTAAACAACCAGTTGAAATAATTAGTATATTCTTCTACCTCAAGGCCAAAATTCACTATTTTTCCTAATGTAACAAAAGAATGATATGCGTTGTATAACAAAAAAATTTCATAAAAAATCATCATCCCAAAACATACGAGTACATGGTATTAGGTCAATAGTTATCCACAAAAATGAATGATAATTAAACTACTTCCACCAAAAAAAAGGCCAAAATTCATTGGTTTACCTAATACTAGCATTTTAAACAACCAGTTGAAAAAAACCTATATATTCTTCCACCTCAAGAAAGGCCAAATTTCACTATTTTTCCGAATGTCATGCTAGCATTCTAAACAACCGGTTGAAGAAACCCTTAGGAATCAAATATCAAATATTTTTCCATCTACTTTGGAATCATATATCAAGACTCGATAAAAAATGAACATTGACAAAAAATAGAAACAAATTAGTGTTTGATATTATGCTAAAGCATTTAAACTTAATAGATTCCACTGTATATTCGAAAGCAAATATGACATCACAATATTGTAAATAATGGGGGAAGGAGAAATGTATCACCTCTGCTATGAGAATTCTTCTAAAAGCATTGGCAATTGCTGGATCAATACCAATCATGTCAAACTCGATGTCATCCTCTGTAAACCGCTTCACTTCAACCTTAAAGTTATTACAGAAATTATCCAATCGTACACTGTTATCAACTCCTAATGCTGCATAAACACCAGAATATTGTAGGGTATCTGTCTGCATACACAAAAACAAAAACAAAAATGTTTGCTAACAGATACCAAACAAAACAATATATCCAACCATTTATTAAAAACAATAAAAAAAAAACATAAGCCCTTGATTAAGTCGTATATCAAAACATATATAGCTAATATAAATTTTAAAAATACTAAACCTTCTAAGAGTGAAATTTCAAATCCTATCTTTTATGCTTCCAAAGTACCCAAAAAGTTAGAAGTTTTGCAAACTGAGTGTCCGGGATTATGAAAAAAAAGGTAAAATTTCAAAGGAAGAATAATAATAAGAGGGAAAGATAGATAGATAGATACATGCTGAGGAGCATCCATATTGCAAATAACACGAGTTTTGAGAAGTTCAAGATGTGAAGGGAGCTTTGATGGAACATCTTCCAAGTTCATTATGTAATCGGGTATTCCTCCATTCTGTTCTTGATCTTCAATCTCCGACATTGAGTCCTCTTCGTCTGACATGTTGAACAAAGTTGATAAACCTAGAAAAACAACTCTAGTCAGTTGTTAACTGTTACTACTCCTAATACTGTATGAACATAAAGTTTAATCAGAAAACCAGGAATTGATGAGTGAAAACCTAAATCTATGTTTCTACACAAAACTTGAGAAAAACACGAAAACCCAATCATCAAATTAGAATCATAAACACCAACAAAAGGCAACATATATATTCAGTTACAAAAAATTGGAATGCTGAAGATTTGAAATCGAAGGAGAAAAGTGGATAGAGAAACCTGGAGAATTACCGTATACGGCGGAGGGATGAGGATGAACCGGCGGCGTATTTGAAATTTGCAGGGTTGAGCGAAAATAAAACTCAGACTTTGCTCGGTTTTGCTTTGATTTTGGTTGAAACTTTGTTAGGTTAAAACCCTTAAACCCTAGTATGCGAACATGTTTGGACAGGACATGACTTTAGCTCAATCTCCCCAGCTAGATCAATCGAACGCTCTAAATTTTGCCATGTGTCTATTTTTATTATTGTTATATTATTGTTAAAAAAACAAAAGATCTTAAATTCAAATTAATTTTTAAATAAAAAGTTTATTTGCGGTTTATATAATAGTTTATTAAAATAAATATTTATGAAATAAAATTTATAAATTAATTTTATATATGTTATAAGTTGGTTGAATTTATAAAGATATATTTAAAAATATTTATAAAATATATATATATATATGGGAATCTCTCACTATTTTTTCTCTCGTATCATGCTATCAATATAAAGATTTGAATTGGAGCAAAATAGAGAGACTCAGACACCAAATCGAAGATAATTTAGATATCTTTCAAATAGTGTAATGAAAGATAATTTGTTTGAGATGGTAGGAGTATTTTCCAATTTAATATAAAAGTTTTGGATTCGAACTCATCTCTAAATAGCAATGTTAAATTTAAAAAAAAAAAACAGTTTGCGGACACTTCCATTTCTCTTTTAAATGTCTTTTTTTTTTACTTTTTATATATATCAAAAAAAATTAATCAATATTATTATTTTTTAAACAATAATTTTTCTTTTATCTATAATATTTGTAATTATTTATTTTATTTATTTTATTTATTTTCTTTTTTCTTTTTCTATAATAAATAACAATGAGTAATTTTCATTAAAAAAAAGACAATTAATATTACTTTTAATTTTGTAGGTAACAATTAAAAGGAACAAAAAATTATAAAAAAATGACATTTAAAAAAAAAAGAAGGAAGGAGTATAATTAAACCACTTAGAGCATCTTTAGTGGGAGTAAACTAAATGGGTAAACTAAGATACTTTTTGTGGGCTCAAAATGATTTGTAGGATTTAAAAAATTTATAGTTGATTTGAGTAGTTTTTACTTTAATGGTGGTTGTCTATAAGAAATCAAGACTTGATCCCACATTTTATATTTTTTATTCAAGTTACCATTAATTTAATTATTTTATTTAAAATGCATATATTTTTTAAAAAAAAATTTACCTTAAAAACTTAAAAATAGTATTAAATATATTTTATTATAAAATTAAAAATGATACAAAATTCACAACAATAATAATAAAAAAAATTACATTTTCATAGGAATATAATTATAATAAGGATTTGATTGGTTGTCATCCATTTGATAAATAAATAAGATTGAAAATTGAAAGAAAAAAATTTAGAAGTAAAACTGTATGTAAAAAAAATTAAAGTTTCTATAGAATTTATAGAAGGTAAAAAATGGTAATATGACCGTTACTATTTAAAATGAAATATTTGGAATATTTTATTAATATTAAATAATATTATAATAGGTTTCACCAGAATAGTTAAAGTTAACTATATAGATAATGGAAACTAAATTTTAGTTCATTTGGATGCCATGTCAGCTCTACTATAATGCAAATTCCTTATTACTAACGTAAACTATAAGGAATTTTGGTTTAACAACCATGCGTTAAAGTTGCTCTTAGGACATAAGTGAACAAGTATAAACTTATTTTAATTGACATCACTAAAAAAAACATATGTTAGCTTATAAAAACTCTAATTTAACATTACTATAAACATCCATGAGCATTTAAAACTTTTAGAAAAGTGAAGAAGCATAAACTTATTTTAATTGACAAATTTTTATAATAAAAAAATACCAAAGTAATAATAATAAAATAAGTGGCATGTATCATATCATAAGCAAAAGGAAGATTCTAGTAATATTTCATATTGCATTTAACAGATAAAATATAATGCAATTGCTTTGTGAAATTCACATGTTTCTTTTCTTTTCTCTTCCAAGTTTTAGCTAAACTATTTATGTTGAAAGCATTAATTGGTTTGATGACCCTTTTCAATACTCTTACTGTTAAAGGTAAATTATTCATCAATTTTATTGTTTTATGTATTGTTTTGTTCTTCAAATTTTCAAGTTCATCACAATTCACACCCTTTTTGCTTGTTTTCTTTTTATTTTCATGTGTTATACTTGTTGATTTTGGTTTTGATGTTAAACTTTATGTCTTTCAAACTAAAATATGTTGTCTTTGTTTGCAAAACTTCCTAGTCCACTTTTAAAGTTACCATGTTAATTACAAGGCAAGAATCTTTATATTTAAATCAAAGTGAATGTATCTTTCTTCTTAGCCATTATATATGTTTAGTTATGTGGGAGACAATAGAATGGTTTTTCTTGCCTTTGATATCAAGAGATATTTTCTTTATCCTTTGATACATTAAAAAATAAGTCGTATTCTCATCATTTCCTTCAATTCAATGTGTTTCACTCTAATGATACTATTACAAACTCCCACATCGATATGGTCTCGATGTATGTTCATAAGTGGAGAGAAATTCTCTTTGTATAAGTTGGTTTTATACAATTGAGTTAGGCTCAATCAAGATTCTTAAAATGGTATTAAAATCTATCTAAGATCTGTTGGACCACCTACTATCAGGTTGTATCTGCTATCAAATCACATGTCATTTATATCCACACTCCAGATCTTCAGTCCTGGGAGTGGTAAGGTATGCTAAAGAGTTTCATTGATTTTTGTACCATTTAATCTCAATTTAATGATCAATGGTGCGTCGAATGCGTGAATTTGTGACCAGAGAAAATCGAAATCCACAACATAATGCTCTAAATTCTTTATGATAAACTTATAAAAGCCAAGTGGAAGAAGTGGCATGTTGTTGTGATATGTGAAACTGAATCATATGATATCAGTTCATTGTTTCTCAAAACCTTTGGTTTTTTGAAAATCTTGAGGTTTCACAGTGATGTAATTTGGTAGACAAGTTTCAAATTGCTTTTATATTATGTTCAAATCAGAAGACAGTTTTAGTGCAGGTTTGGATTCACTTTTGAGTTTCGACCCGATTAAATTACAATCGTAATACAGTTGGTCAATTATATCTGGAAAGAATCAAGAGAATGATACTTGATTTGATTATATTAGAATGTAGTAACTTCTAAATATTATTTTGTTAGGTACAATACTACAAATGTAAGAATTCATAATCATTTCCATTCACAAATATATGAGCACTTTTTTGTTTAACTTACATGTTTTTTTGTAAACAATACACTTTTGGTATATATTTAACAGCATGACATAAATATGTACAAGGAAATATCGAGAGAAAAAATACAATTGAGCAAAAGAATTAAGTTCATCAAAGCAAATCCTTCACATTTTCACATAAGACAAATTCTTCTTGTTCTTCTTCGAACTTGCAAGATCTTCAATATCCTTTCCATGCTCGAAGAACTTCCGCGAAGACTTCAGAAATGAGATCCATATCGGAATTTTGGAGGAAGGTATTGAAATCATTCTGAATTTCAAATATTTTACCAAATTTGACAAGATATTGAATACAGTTCATCTTCAGTTTCGTCAACCGATATAGCGACGTGTTTTGGAGCCTCTCAAGTTTATTCTGCGTATCAGTATCTTCAAGAAGACTCTCGTGGATGGCCTATCTCAAATCAGATATGTCGTACTTGTCAACTACGTGTAAAAGGGTCAGCCTATGAGTAAGGAATTCTTCGTTTTTGATGATCCCGTAAAGATAGTTGAAAAAAGTTTGACATTCACATGTTTGTGATGTTTATAGTAGACAACTTTTTCTCTTTAAGATCGTGCGAGAACATGCTTTGGAAGACAGGTGATCGAGATTCGAGAACAGCTCCATGAACTCATATACTTCCATCAGAAGCATTAATGGTTATGTCTGTGTGGATTCTTTTTCTTAGCATTTTACCAAGCGACCCTAGCACTTTTGCATTTCATCTCTCTTGAGTAAATCCTTCATCGCCCTATATAGAGAAAGGTTCTCCACCTTGTAATACATTGATTGAAAAATAACATTTCAAATAAGATAATTGTGTCTGATGTCTATTAGATGTCAATGTGACACTAACGCAATCGGTGTGATACTGACACTGACACATGTAGTTACATTCAAATATTCTATTTTTTACAACTATGTTATGATGCTTATCAGTAATTAAAACATCTCCTACTAGGTGTATTAATCTATTATCACTAATCATTTTGCTTTATCAATGGTGATTATGCACAAAGTAATTAATTAAGTGCCCATGATTATAAAAAGTGGATTACTAAATCCAACTATTACTCCAAAGTGATTATAGCTAAACTATCTCATTCCAATTGTTTCTAATTGATTATCATTTTCAATGAATAACATAGAAAAATCACATACACCCCAAACACGATCTCGACACTAATACGATGAGCACAAATAAAAAATTTAAGTGTAACTACAAGTGTTAGTGCACCGACACAAACACAGATACATTTTTTTGGAGGTGTCGATGCTATGAAAATCAACAACAAATAAATAGGCGTCGAGCACATACATTTGGGGATGCAATCTTCAAATCAAGGAAATCAACATCAATAATGAATTTTCCAGATAGTGGAACCACAATGATAACTTGGTTTACCTTTAAATGGATAGATGTCATTTGTTAATG